AGGAGGAGCCCAGGGGCAGCGGGACCTCCCTCCCACTGGCCCATCTGGACTGGACGGTCACCTCTCCTCCCCCCCAGCCCCTCCCCCATGAGAGGCACCTCGTGAGCTGTGGCTCAAGTAGTAGAGCGCCAACCTTGAGCAAAAAGGCCAAGCAAGAGCACGAGGCTCTTAGTTCATGCCCCAGTCCCAACACATGCACACACACACGCACGCACGCACCTACGTACACACGTGCATACACACCACAGGCTGGGCAGTCCTCGGCCCCTTGGAGTAGTGCGAGATCTCCCACAGCGACAACTGAACTTGGGGCTCCCAACGCCCAACTCCTGCTCTCCACTGAGCCCCATTAGCTACCTGGAAGCGCAGCAAGGAAGGCGTAAAGGGGTCTCCCAAGGCCCCCGCCAGGCCCCCATCAGCCCCTCCCCTTGATGTGGCTGCAGGCTCTTTGCTTGCCCCATCCCTATGTGGTCTGGATGGATGGCTCAGCCTCCCTGAGCCTCAGTTTACCCCCCTGCACAGGAAGGGTAACAGAGCAGTCCCCTAGGGGACGGGGGGCTCGGCCCCTCCCCCTCTGCACCGGGGAGCCGCAGGTCTGCCACCCTTTGCTTCTTGTCTTGTGGGGCTTTGAGCCTTTCGAGCCCCGAGCTGAGGGTCTCTCCCTCAGTTAGGTGTTGAGCACGGTATTCTGCTCAGCTCCGAGTATTCTAGAACTTTGCCGCGATGCACGGAAGGTCATGTCTGCGCCCCCTGGCCGCATCTGAGCGCTGTCTTCCAGCCAGAGCTGGCTGGCCTGGCGTTCCTGCCTGCGTCCGGTCTACCCGGCCTCTGCGGAGCCTCTGTCCCGGCAGGGGCAGCGCTTCCACGGCTCACCCACCAGATGGGGCCTCTGCCTGCCCTTAGGGCGCCTTAGGGCGCCTCCTGGAAACAGAGCCACTCGGGTGCCAAGGACTTAGGGGGCTGGGGATCCCACTTAGCAGCCATGCTGTTGGGGGGGCGGGGAGGATGTGTCCCAGAGTAGAAGTTCCTTCTAGGGGAACAGCTGTGGGTGAGAAACTGGGGCTGAGACTTGGGGCTGGCGCCCAGGCTGTGGAAAGGCCTAGAAGGAAGGGACAGGTGAGTAAGAGCGTGGATCTGGCCCAGGCCGGGGAGGGAGGGTGCATCTAGGTGGACCATGATGCAGAACCTCCCTCTGCTCCTGTCCATGCTCCTGCTGCAGGCCTCCAACCACCCAGCCCCCCCCCCACCCCCCCGCCCAGCTCTCCACCTGCACCAGACTTCTCTGTGGCTGAGTCCCTTTGTCCTTTCCACCTGTCCTCGCCTGCCCAGGCCTCCGCTGCGCAGGCCAGGCCTCTAGGCTCACCCTCTGAGCCACACCCTTCCAGGCTCTTCCAAGAGTCCCTGCAGGTCTCCAGCCCCTCGTGCCTCCCCACGCCTGGCCCTGGCCAGCACTACCTTGACCCTTCAGGACTTCAGGAGGTCAGTACTTCCTCAGGCCTCAGTTTCCTGTAAAGTACGGGTGTTGGAAACAATCCCCCAGGCCCATCTCAGCAGAGCATGTGGTGACTTGGTAGCTCTGAAGTGAGGACGGCGGGAAGACCGGCCGGGCGGGCTTGCCTACAGGAAGACACCTAGGCATTGTCAAGCCAGGCTGCTCCTGTCCAGCCATCAGGATCCTCTCTGGTGCCAACCAGCTGACAGTGGCTCATGCCTGTAATCCCAGCTCCCCAGGAGGCTGAGCTCTGCTGATCATGGTTCAAAGCCAACCCAGGTAGGAAAGCCCATGAAACTCTTAGCTCCAATTAACCACCAAAAAAATAAAAGCCAGAAGTGGAGCTGTGGCTCAAGTGATAGAGTGTTAGCCTTGAGCAAAAAAGCTCAGAGACAGCGCCCAGGCCCTGATTTTAAGCCCCGGGACTGGCACAGAAAAAGAAAAGAAAAGAAAATCCCTGGATGCTTGTCCAGCCCCGTGGGGCCCAGGTGCTGTGCTGTGGCTCTGGATTTCAGTGGTTTCCTGCATGGTGTCTGGGTGGGAGCAATTGCCCTCTTCACAGTAAGACTGGGGCCACTTGAAGCCCAGGTCCCTTCCTCCCACGGGCAGGACGCAGGCCTTTGGGGGAGCAAAGCCTTGTGAGATATGAAGACCTTGTAGGCCTGAGGTCCCCCGTTGCAGGGACCCCAACCCCGCTGGGAAAGCCCCTGACAGTGACATCTCTTTCCCGGGAGAGCCCCGGCCTGCCTGGGCCACGCTGGTGCCTGCAGTGGTAGATAAAGACCACCAGAGGGCGCCAGTGTCAGCGGCTGCTCCGCTGGATGGAGCTCTGCGAACCAAATGCTTTTTAATTGAAAAAAAATTTTTTAATTCAAAAAGGATTTGCTGTTTGTACTCGAGTGCAGGTTTTCCTTATGCAGGAGACTAATGTCTTGAGTAAACAGATCCGGGCCCAAATCCACCTTCAAAGGTACTCACTGTTTGCCCAAGGGAGTGAAAGGCCTTCCAGAAGCAGCTCTAGTCTCTTGGGCAAACATTTTTGGGACGAGCAGTCCTGGATGGAAGACAGCGTCTGGGAAGGTCATCCACAGCCTAAGGGGGATTATGTCGAGGGACATATGTTGAAATTTCATTTGGGGAGTTAGGGAAAACAAGGGGGGTGATGTTTGTCTCCAGCCAAGATAACCTAAAAAGTGGGGGGGGAGGAATGGAGGGGAAATCCCCAGGGAGGCACTCAGCAATCTGTGCACTGCCCCGGGGCTGCCCCTCCCCTCCCCCAGCTTGCCATGTGCAAAGGAAAGTAAAGGAAGCAGGAAACTAGCAGTCCCTTCCGTGCCCCCACCGTGAGACCCTGTCCTGCGCCTAGTGCCCAACAGGGCACCTCTGCCTGCTCGGTCAATCGCTGCCCACCCACCACCCAGAGAGCTGGAGCACCCTGGAGCTGGGGCTGACACCCCCCCCCATGGACTCCCTGCCACCCAGGGCTGGCAGGGCAGGGCCTCCCAAAAGGGCTAAAGAATAGCCACATTTGAGGTCACCAAGCCTCGACCGAGGCCTGCTGTGGGGCTTCCTCCTGGCCGCCAGGGTGAGCGCCCTGCCTCTATCCCTGATCCACTCTGCTCTCCTCCCACCAGCCTCCCACCTCACAGCCCTGCCCATCCCCCCCCCCCCATCCACATCTCTCCTGGTCCTGGAGCTGGACCTGGGATGGCCCAAACCAACCCTGGGAACTGACAGCAGCTTCCAGTCACCTGGGAGGTCTTTGAAAGTGTAGATCTCAGGATTGGGGGGGAGGGGGCCCTAGCTTCAGTGGTAGAGCACCAGCCAATGAGCAAAAGCAAGCATCAGATACCAAGTGTGAGTCCTGGTCTCAGACACAAAGAAAATGAAAGGAAAATGTAGATTCCCAAGACTGCTGAGAAAGAGTCTCTGCTGGCCAGGTGAGGAGTTGCAGGATGGCTCACCAGGAGATCAGTGCTCCCCACCTCCCCTTCCCGCCTCTCACAGCCCAGCCCCTGTCCCTGCTTCGCGCTTGTCCAGCTGGGCACTCCTGAGCTCCTGCCCCAGCCACGGCTAAGCGGAGTTCGGCCCTCGCCCCAGCCTGCACTTTGTCCCTTGCTTGGGTTAGTGGTTGTGCTCTTCCCCTCACCCCTTCTGTTAGACATGGGTACCTCTGCCACAAGCCCCCTTGCTTCCTCCTGTAGCCCCATGCCTGAGCAGCCTGTGTTCCTCCTTGCCCACTCTGAACCCTGGGAGCATGGAGCTCCTACCTGGGCCTAGAAGGTCCCCCTGTATCCTGGATAGAGGAGGGAACTTATTTGCTGTTTGCTGCTGTGCATTGCCCAAGCAGCCACCAGGTGGCAGTGTTGTCCCAGCCGTTTTCTGAGTCTGCTTTGGCTGGGACTGCTGGTCACAGGTGAGGCCCCTCGACCCGATGTGTAGGGAGGGGCTCACTCAGTGAGCGTCAGCAGTGGGCTTCAGCCTCCACCCCGGACCCCGGGGCTGGGCCGCACCTTAGAGTAAGTCCTCCGAGGCCCGGAGAGGCTGAGGCCTCCCAGCAGTGGCCAGCCTTCCGGCTCCTCCTCACTCTAGGCATAGGCCTGGACTGCGGCACTGGCCGTGTCCACCCCCTCCTCAGGTGGCCTTTGGGGCACCTCCTTGCTGTGAGCGGCTTACTGGGGGTCATCAGGTATGTCTAGTCTCCAGGAAGTGACCACTCTATGGTGGCCAAGCCTAAAGGTGGCAGCTCAGAGACCACATGGCCACGTGTCCGGGCTGTTCCCCACAGCCCCACGCCTGCACCTCGGCTGGCAGAGCCCACGGCGCCACCTCTGCAGGGCAGGGCGCCCATCCCGCGCCCCTCACCTGCACCTGCACTTGAGGCTGAGTGTTCCCCCTCCCCCCCCACCAGAGTGCTCGCCCCAGAGATCCCTCTGCTGTGGCCAGGGCCTGAGTGCAGGGAGCTGGCGCCTCCCGTGAGCACGAAGCTGCTACAGGTCTGGGATCCTGGGTCAGGACAAGGCCATGCGCCCCCCCCCCCCGCAGAGGACAGGTGCCACCTGCTGGGGCTGCCCGGTGGAATGCAGGGGCTCTCACCAGGCTGTGCTGGCGGGATGGGGGGGACGGCCTTCCTGGGTCCTCCTGTCACCCCAGAGACTGCCATGCACAGTGCTCACACATTTTCCACCAGAAGTGCATGTCTAGGAATCCCCAAGACCCAGTGGCTGGGTCAGCCCTGGGGTCCCCTCTTGCCCCCAAGGCAGAAACCAGAGAAATACTCTGTGATTGAGAGGTGCCCAGCCCCGTGCCCGGTGCTCGGCGTGTTCGCGGATGGCATCGGCCAGTTGTTGCGCTGCCCAGCGGTGCGTGTGATTCGCAGCCGGTGCGTCCATACGCTGCCCGTGGGCCCACCCAGCCGTGCCACGCGGGCCTCTGCTTTGCCCTGGGCCTCCCCGTGCCCCGTGCCCCCTGCCCTGACAGTGCCTCCTCTGTCTTGCTCTTCCTGCAGTACGAGTACAGCTTCCGCACGGAGCAGAGCGCGGCTGCCCGGCTCCCGCCCAGCCCCACCCGATGCCAGCAGATCCCCCAGTCCTGAAGAACCGGCCAGAGCCGGCCATCTGGGGGGGAGAAGACGCCTTCTGTCTGGTGCCCACACACTACTGACGGGGTGGCTGGGGGGGTAGGGAACCCCCCTCCCTCGCCCGCCCCTGCCACCCCCTCCCTTGGCACCAGCCAGCCCTTCTCTCAGCGTGCCCAGGCCCGCCCACTACCCCGGAGACTGGCAGCTGAGTGGCCCTGTCTGGCTCATCAGCTTGCTTGATGAGACACCCCCGCCCCCAGCCCATAATCGTGACTAATCTGTGTGTGCTGTAGTGACCAGCAGCTCCCACGTGTCTGTGATGACCATTATGCAAGTCCTCCTCACCCAGAGTCACCCCCCCAGGGCCAGGCAGCCACCCCTGACGTCCAGTGACGCCTGCCGGCCCCTTTGCTCCTGCCCATCACCCACAAAGCCAACTGCCCCCCCTCCTGGAAGACCCTGGGGTTGGCCTTCGGGACACGCAGATGTCCTCTGAGCCAGGGCTGCCCACGGGCTCCCCACCCCTCTCCTGGGCTTTGCAGCAACCCCAAGACAATGTGAGAAGGGTTTTACCCTGCCCCACACCGCACAACCACGTTCTTCTCCACGGTTCACACACTGGACGTCCCGGGACTGGTGTGGAAGGGGGCCTTGCTTCCTGGGGCGCTGACTATGTGCAGGGCGCCAGCCTGGATGTGAGCCAGGCCGCCAGGCGCTGCTCCTCCACACCCCGTACACCCCCCAAAGGGCTCACGTGCAGGACACCACCTGCCAACAACAGCTCTACCTGCCTCGGCCCTCAGGTGACCCCGCATGGTGACTGCTCCAAGGCACAGCTCCTCGCCGAGCCGGACGCAGCGGGAACAAGGCCCCGCTCAGCCAGGAGACGCCTCTCCAGTGTCCGGTGGAGATTTGAGGCGAACCCTGTGTGTGGTGCCATGGCCACTGTGGGCCTTGCCAGCCCTGAGAGCTGGCCCTCTCGCCCTAACAGGCTGCCTCTCAGTGTCTGGCTGCTGGGGTTCATCCCGATTCCGTAGACTACAGGCCTCCGACACCCCGTGTCCCCAGAGGGTCTGCCCAGACGCGAGGCCACGGTGGGTCACCAGGCTGATGACGACGATCGTGGGGCCTCTGCCAGCCACGTTCCAGAGATGGCAGCCAGGTAGGGATGGGAGGACAAAGCAGCCAATGGGATTGGCTAAGAGCCACGGCAGGGCCCAAAATACCTCACATACCTGCGACAGTCCCTCGGTGGGCACACTGCCTCCTCCATCCGTCAGTCCTGCGTCTTCACCTGCCACATCTTGGTTTCTGGAAATGGTGGCCTTGGGACCTTGTCACCTCCCGCAGGACCTCCAGACCTCGCGGGCCGCCAGGCAACTTGTGGAGGCTGAGGAAGTCAAGGTGCCAGCCTCCGGAGGGCCGGGCGAGGGCTCACCACAGAGGGCTGCACGCAACTCCCTCGCCGTGATCCCAGCCCTGTGCGTAGCCACCTGCTGCTTTTTTTATGGTGGCTGGCCCAACGCCGAGAGGCCTGTGTGACCCAGAGAGAGGTGACACCCGGTGGGTGATGCGGAGCTCCGGGCTCCCCTGTCCATTTCATTTTAGTCGGTGCACTTTGTCCTTCAACCTCTTCCCACGCCCCAGTGGTGAGACTGTGACGGGTCACTTCCCGATGGCCTTGCCACCCCCTCGTCGGAGAACGAGACTTCTCCGCGGCCCTGTGGGGCTCTGGGAGGCCCGAGGTGATGACGTGGGACCCCGTGGCAGCGATGGAGAAGACAGAACAGGGGTTGTGGGGGGAGGGAGAGCCACAGAAGAAAGAGGCCACCCCAGTGTCCCCCCGCCCCGACTCTGCCGGGCCACACGGCCCCCAGGAAGAGGGCAAACTGCGGAGATGTCCAGGACGGGACCGGCTGAGTTTCAGAATAGCCTTGACTGTGAACCACGGCAGCTCTCGCAGACGGAGCACTGACCTGTGGAGTCTGGGAGATTTCAGGCTGCTCTCCTCTTTGGAGAGGCGGGTGGCGTGTGCACGTGTGGATCACATGTGTTTGCGTGTGAGTGACACATGTGCACGCGTGCATCCCAGCCACACGTCAGACTCTATCAGGCCGCAGAGGCCGGAGGCGGGCCTCTGGCTCACGCCCGTGTACCTGGAGGTGGGCCAGGAGCCGTGGGCGCTCCCCACTGCGGGAAAGGAAGCACAAGGATTGTCTCGGAAATGTGAATGGCCCAAGGCCTCTCCCTTGGATCCACCCAACGTGTCCCACATCGGCTACCGTCCCTGCACGGTGCCCCCTGCCCTCCTAAAAGACCTGACAAGAGCACAGCGCCTGGACCCTCTCCAGGGGCCTGGAATGTGGCGCACGGATGACTGGCGGGAGGTGCTTTGCCCCCGTTCACTTGCAACTTATCAGAAGGTCTCCCTCCCCCCCACACACTCAAGTCCAAGAAGAGAGGCCAGCCTCAGGTGAAGAGATCGCACCTGCCCTGGCTGCTGCTCAGAGGCGTGTGGCTGCAGACACCGGCCGGCGTCCCCCGGTCAATGAGAAGGCCCAGGAGGAGCCGGGACTAGCGTTCTGAGCACCTCACCCCTGCCAGGCCCACAGCCGGCAGCCTAAGCACATTCCCCTGCTGCTCCCCGCTTCCAGACAAGACACTCAAAGCAGGACCGGGGCGGGGGGCGTAGGCTAGAATGCAGCAGGTAAGCTCTGGCTCTGAGGCCCCCCAGACCGGCAGCCTGTCCTAAGCCCAGGCTGGCCTTGGTTTCTAGCCCTGTGGATGGACTCCGTGTCTGTCACCAGGCCCTGGTGGTGCCCACAACACAGAATTAGGATTCCCGGACAGCCCTAACCCCCTGCACCTAGCCACCCCCCCCCCCAGCTGCTGGCTGCCCCATCACACACCAGCTTCTGAGAAGCAGAGGGGCAGAGGGTCCACGACCAGCATCCGCGTGCCACCGGGCCATGCAAAGCCGGCCTCGCCTTCCGTCTGCACGCGCCTGACCCCTGCTGCCTGAGGGAGGAGGCCAGGCACCTGCGCCGCCTCCGCCTCCCGCAGGTAGCTGGGCACTGAGAGCCCCGCCCCGCCCTCCGCTCTGCCCAGGGCCGCAGGGCCTGCCGAGGGCCAGGCCGGGCCGCTCGCTGCAGCCGGCAGGAAACCAGGCTTTGTTCTCGAGCAAAGAGCGGCGAGCTGCTGGGCGGCCGCTGGCCTTGGCGAGGACTTTCCTCCCGCGTATTTATTCAAGGTGACTCTACTTGGCAAAGGAAGTCTCACTGTGCGGTTGTCTGTATTCTTAATATAATTTGTTAAATAAACATTTGTTTTAACCTCTTTTCCTCCTGTCTGGCCGTAGTGTCTGAAGCCACCAGAGGTCAGTGTCCCTCCGGGAACGTCCTCCGGCTCCAGCTCTGCCTCTAACGGGCCTGTCCTCAGAGGCAGAGGGCCAGCACCCCGCCTTTCAGCCTTCTAGAGAGAGCTGGCGCCATCTCCCTGACTACACACGGGCCCAAGGGACTGGGGAGGGCTGCCCTGTCCCCTTGGGTGCTCCTAGAAGGGGGAAAACCACGGTGATCGTGGAAGTGGGACCCAGCAAGGAATGGGGTGGGGGCGGTGTTCATGGTGAGGTTGCATGAGCCCCGTCTGGGGTGCAGGGCACATCTAGTTATTAGTGGGCCCAGCCACAACTCTGGGTGCTTTTTCAGACCTCATCTGTCTGCACGCCTGCCTATAAGTCACTGCCAGCCACCCACACACATACATGTATGTGCACATACACGCACGCACACACATGCACACACATGGGGTCTCTCACAGCATCAGGACGGGAAATGGAAGAGCAGCAAGAGTTCCTCCCAGAAAGTCCTCTCGTGAGCGGGAGCTGAAGCCCAGTCCTCGGCTCATCCCAGCTCCCCGGGCAGCCTGGCGGGGGCTCTCCCTCCCTCAAAGGCTCCCCTGGGAAGGTGGCTGGCCTCTCTGACAGAATGTGCATCCCTCCTGGGGGCTGAGAAACACAGAAAGGTACCCATGAGCAGACCTGGGCCTGGGGAGCGGGCCTCAAGCAGGCCTGGGAAAGACCTACAAGCTGATGCCTGGGTTCTATGGGCAAAACCATACCCAGCAGCCTGGGCCAGTCTGGGGGGCAGCTCAGCATCCAAAGCCACATGCCGCTGAGCCGCAGAGGGGCCAGACCTGTCCTCCCCTCACCCCCACGGGTGGGCCCGGCCTGGGGCCCGGAGGTTTCCCCCTGCAGCCTGCCCGGCTGCCCTCCTTCACACAGACCTGCAAAGCACAATGGAGGGGCCCCGTGATGCCTTCTGTCCCCCACAGCTCTGGCCCAGGGTGGCAGCAGGTCGCAGAAGTTCAGATCCAGCTGCTCTGGACGGCAGAGGACCGAGGCCGGATGGGCACCATTGGGCCTTCGTCCACCCATTGTCCAGGACATGGCGCGTGACCGCCTATCCCTCGTGCAGCCTCTCGGTATGAGGTGACAGGTGCCACCCGGGGACCTGACGCTGCCTTCATCCATGTGCCTGCCCCCAGCAGACCCTCTCCCTGCTTCTCTGGATACTCACAACCTGCCAACCGCAGGCTGGCGGCTGACACCTCCCCAGCCACCCGGCTTCCTCTCCCGCTCTGCGTCGCCCTGTTCAGCTCTGTCCCTGGCCACCCGATGGCACCACCCGAGTGTCTGATCAGCCGGACCCCAGAGCCTCCGGTCACCCACGGAGCTACTTGAGGCCTACGGTCGCGCTCTCCGCTGGACGGTGCTCATCCACACGCGTCTGTCTTGCAGGCCGCCACTGCGCCTCTCGGCTCAGCTCTGGCCTGTGCTTTCCAACCCCACTGCATGTCCGCCTTGGTGTCCTCCCCCTCCCTGCCTGCCAAAGGGGGGCACCCCATCCTGCCTGTCCTGCTCCCACACATCTTCACACAGCAGACACCCCTCCTCCCCATGAAGATCCTCCACCCTCACTGTGGTGACAGCCCTCACTCTGAGAACGATGCCTGCGTCGCTTGGATTTCAGACCCCTCCTTCCTGGGCTGGCTCGCCTCCTGTTGATGCTCCTGAGAATCACATGTGGCTTCCCATGCTAGATTCTCCCATGCTTCTGTACCTTTGCACATGCATTTCCTTCTGCCTAGAATGCTTTCCCCCACTCTTCTGCCTGGAAAACTCCTATTGATCCTTCAAAACCCAGTTCTTGCATCTTCTCTATTATGTCTAGCTTACCCCATTACCCCATTGAGGCAAGATAGTAGTGTGTCCACCTCTAAGCCAGCAGTGCCTTACTCTGTCACTGAATTATGGATCCTCCTTCCTCTGGAGGAAGGCATCAGGGTCACATTTACTCTGCCCTCTCCTGACACATACATACTTGGGGCACATAGCACAAGCCCAAGAAAATGGCAGAGTCCAGGGTTCAAAGCCAGCCCAGGCAGGAAATGCTGTGAGACTCTTATCTCCAATCAACCACTCAAAAAGCCAGAAGCAGAGCTGTGGCTCAAGTGATAAAGCATTATACAAAAAAAGCTCAGGAATAGCACCCAGACCCTCCACAAATAAATAAATAAGAGCTGGGAAGGTGGCTCAGTGGTAGAGTGCTTGCCTTGCATGCATGAGGTCCTGGGTTCAATTCTTCAGCACCACATAAGCAGAAAAAGCAGGAAGTGGCGCTGTGGCTCAAGTAGTAGAGTGCTAACCTTGAGCTGAAGAGCTGAGGGACAGCGCCCAGGCCCAGAGTTCAGACCACACAACCAACAAAAATAAATAAATAGATTTTTGAATACTCAGAAAAGACAAACCATATCTAAATTAGCAGGCTATCCCATGTTCTCTTTTTTTCCTTTTTATTTTTTTTTTTGGGGGGGGGGGGTCGGTCGTGGGGCTTGAACTCAGAGCCTGGGCACTGTCCCTGAGCTTTTTTGCTCCAGGCTAGCACTCTAGTACTTTGAGCCACAGCCACACTTCTGGTTTTCTGGTGGCTGATTGGAAATAAGAGTATCACAGATTTTCCTGCCCAGGCTGGCTTTGAACCACAATCCTCAGATCTCAGCCTCCTGAGTAGCTAGGATTACAGGTGTGAGCCACCGGTGCCTGGCCCCCTATACGTCTTCAAACTCTTAAGATCTCTTTCCTCAAGAACATAAGATCGAGAACAGCCAGGACTCTGTTCTGGGTACCCCAAGAATAGGCCACAGTTTGGTGCAAAACTGCCCCTAGCAAACATTGGTTCACTGAATTAACACAAAGGTGCCAGTTTGTCTTCACTAATCAAAATTTAAGCAGAAAATAATTAAATTTAAAAGCCATAATTTTTCTGGTCCAAGACTAAAACTCACACTCAGGATCTGACACTTCCTCTCATGGGCTAGCATTCTACAAACTCAGCCTCACTTCACATAAGGGCCTAGCTGGAGCTGCAGACCGGGCACCCAGCACTCTGCCCAGTGGCCTAGAGGAGGTCCGGGAGGGTAGGGGTTGGGTGGGGGGGGGTCCTCGAGAATTCCCAGGGGAAGAGGTATCGTGCAGGCAACCCCACCCCTGGAACCCTGTTTCCTAGCGTGGGGAGGGTGGAACCATCTCACACTTTTCTGTAAAGTGGGGGGGCATGCTACTACCTCCTTTTTGGGCGCAGCACAGTCTGGATGGGGAGGGGACCTGCTGAAGAACCTCTCCTCCACCAATCAGCTCAGCCAGCTCACACTCAGCCTCCTGAGTGGCTAGGATGACAGGTGTGAGCCACCAGCGCCCAATGGTCTTTTTTGACACCACATAGAAAATGGTGCCTGTCCCAGGTGGCTAACCCTGCCCTTCCTCTTGGAAACTCGACCGAGCTGTTGAAGGTGCTGTGTGTGTCCAGGCCAGCGTCAAAGCTTCTGGCAAAGCCAGCCTTGGCACTTGTGCCTTGCTGGGTACATGTAAAGTGACCTTTGACCCTACCAGACTCCCTAACAGCCGGCCTGAGGGGTGCCCCTGGAACTCAACTTCCTTCCCAGCCAGGGCTGCCGCCTGTGCCCACCCCCCACCCGAACACACACACACACACACACACACACACACACACACACCAGAAAAATATTTGGAATGGTCTTTGACTGCAATGAGATTAATCCTCAGCTCCCCGACAGTGTCTTTGGGCATGTATTTTTATAACCTCCCTTTCAAATGAGAACCATTTGTCGCTGGGGAAGCCGGCCGGCCCTGCCCGACTGCTGGGCCAGGCATCAACAGCACCTGATTGAATGTCGCAGACAGTGAGAGGGGGTGGGGCCGGGTGCAGGGAGTGCCCAACGGGTGCGGAGGATCCTTTGCAGCTCCCTGACCTGGCTCCATCTCCAGCCAGTGGTGTGAGGCTCTGGGTTCCAATCCTGAGTCTTCTATTCCACAAAGGCCCTCGAGCTGGTGACCCAGCCCCTCTGAACCTCCCTTTGGTTCCTGCAAGCAGCTGAGCTGCCCGATGCTTTAATATGCAGAGGACCAGAGTTTATAGGTGCCACCATGCAGGCTCTTTAATTAACTCTGAGCCTCCTCGGGTCGGGGGCTTTCTCTCTGTGCACTAGCCCCCTCCACCCCCACAACTCCAGGTCTTGTTTGAACTTTACAACACCCCCCTACACACACACACACACACACACACACACACACACACACACACACACACCCCACCCCACAGACCTTGCTTGGCTAAAGCTGCTCCAAACCCTTAGGGCTCAGCTGGGAGGAATTTATAGGAGAATTGCAATCATAGGGTCTTGGCTCAAACTTGTTGCTTCCCCCACCAAAAAAAAATCACCCCCAGAAGTTTGTGACATGTGAGGCTGTGGCGAGGAGGAGGAGGTGCCTTCAGGATCGCAGCGCTCAGCTTTCCACCTGGACCTGTGGGAGACCCTGCGGCCTCTGGCTGGGAGGACGCGAGCCACACACGACCGACCGACTGGAGATGGAAGTTCGGGGACAAGGTACCGGGACTCACCTGCCTTGAAACAGGTTGCCTAGAAACAGGATTGCTGGAATGAGGGTGGTGGGGGTAGCTTAGGGGTACAGCATTTATTTGCCAGGCATGCCTGAGGCCCTGGGTTCCATCCCTAGCACTATTTAAAAAGAAAGAAAGATTATTTCCACCCTCTGTGGTGGCTGCATCTGTCTCTCAGCCACGGCAGGTCTGTGCAGGTGTCTACGCTGGGCCGTGTCCACCCTTCGTGGGTTCCCAACTAGGAAAGTGGCGGGGGGTGAGGGGGTGGAGAAGGGCAGAAAGCTCTTAACTGAAGAACTGACAGGACTTTTCTCCCATTCTCTTTCTGAGCCCAAGGAGCCCACACTTTTGCAGGAG